TAGGGTGACCAGCACCCGCTGCTGCCTCTGAGCCGGTGGGGAGGCCTCATCTGCCGGAAGGAGCCAGTTATCCGCCTCGTCCGGAGTCGAGCAGACGAAACCGCGGGCTTGGCTCACCAGACTGACGTTGAGACGGACGGTTGAGGCGGTTGGCGACGCGAATATGCCGTCATTTACCCCTCCTCCTCTGTAGGCGATGTATCCGGGGCTGACGAAGGGGGCAGAATCGGGCGAAGCGAAGAATGCAGCCTGAGCGAATGGCGCCGAAGTCGCCGATGACGTTGCAGCCCGCCTCAGCTGCTTCGTGGGTCCCTCCTCGATGTAGCTCCAGGAGACACTGGGACTATGCATGCTGAGCAGACCGGCCAAATCCACCGGGTCGACGGGGCTCGCGATTGCCGACGACGGAGAGGACGCAAAAGGCCAGCCGGACGTGGAAGCGGTACCGCCGCTCCGGAGGGTGGATACCGCAGTGCAGTGCAACACGGCCGAGGTGCCACCGTCTAGAACGTCGATGCTGATCGTCTGGATTTGGGAGCTGGGGCAAAGCTGGCTCGGCGTCACTTTTGCTAACTCGAAGGTGACGGCTGATTGCTGTGAAACGAGGAAGGTGACGTAGATACTGCCATTAAGAGAAGCATACCCTCTGAAGGCGAGGCTCAGTGAAATTAAATTGCATCGTGAGGATTATTAATGCTATTCATAGAGTGAATAAAGCCCCTATTCAAGATTTACCAGTAGTTTAGAAGACTACTTGTTCTGAAGATAAGTAATATAGTCGATTGTAATACAAATACAAGTTCGCTTTATTGATAATCTCTCATCAAAATCTGACCTTGAAGGGGTATCGCTATCCTTGAAAGTTACGCCTGACGTGTGACAAACTGGAGATCATGACGGTGTTGCGTAATGGTAATATGTTGAAATTATATGCTGAACTAGCCGTATTAGATTTCTATTGGAGGTTCTAAAGAGTTTTAAGCGAGGGCGAAACTGCAGTCTAGCCTTGATAAGGATAAGTTTTAGGAGGCAAAGCTGAGTAAAATTCAATGGTAACGCAAGAATTATTGATATAGTTATGGGAAAATCCAACAATAGTTCTTCATCACCTTATGCGACATATGGTATCCAAAATTCAGCCTCCAAATAGTTTTAAAAGAAAAAACAGTTGGTTACTCTATAAATTAGTAGCGTTGCAAGTTGAGGCGCAAAATGCGGTTGCCTATTGTTACAGAATTTTTCCGCAAGGCCTGATTTTCCTTGTAAATCACACTGCTTATTATGGCTGGTGGGGCTGGTGGGGCTGGAGGGACAAAGTCGAGGTCTAAACTACAATTTCGAATATAACAGAACGACTTATGCGAATAAGTGATTAATTAAAATTGACTGGAATACCGAGTATTCTCTTAATTTCACCGTTGGGTTATTCATTATCGGTTCAGCTGAAGACCATTTAAATTTGTGTAACATGACAAGACAATATGGTTAAAAATGTCAGAACTTCCATTTATTCAATCGTACAGAATTAAACTATCAGTTCTTACATCACTTCAGGCAATCGAGTGTGACTTAATTAAGTATTAAATATTTACAGATAGCTACAAAATCGACCCATTATGCGGACTTAATCATTG